GTATCAAGATGCTGTCAGGTTGTCCAGTCTTAGACAGCAGAACGATTAGGGTTCTCAACCAGAGGCTTTGATTTAATAACCTGACCGCAAGGCAGCGGAGCTTTGGCACTGAGCTACATTGACTAGATCGTATAGAGTAAGGAGCCACGCTTACTCCAACTCCCAACCTATGAGTTTGTTAGGCACCTAAACATTGACCAATCTGGTATGAGTGGCTCTGAAGGTGCGAAAGGCCCCACCCAGCATGGTCTAATGGATCGCTGAGACACATAAACCATCGGACCACGTTAAAGTCTAGTCTCGTCGTAATGGTTTTGAAACACTGCAATCAAACTATTCGTCGTAATGGGAAAAACCCGTACCACCCAGCTGGCATTCCGGAGAAGCTCGGTAATCCAACCCGTTCCTAAGTTTTGCGAAACAAGGTTGGAAAGTTCTCAACGTCCAAATTGACGGTTTGATGTGACCTCGTTTTTCAATCCATTAGTAGTTGAAGGTGTGTAGCTGAAGAGAATGCACGAGATGACAGTGTCATCACCACACAACCTGCATCTTCTGAAATTCTTAGTTGGAATCATGAAGGAAATTTCATGTTTCAGCTACCATGATGCAAGAATAGTGTATGTGGGGGACTGGTGTCGTCCACACTGGCCTGGCCATGCACCCTGTTCGATGAATTTCGTAGGGTGGCCTCTTGAGGTAGTCAGTTGAGGACATGCGGCAAGGTCACGAATAAATTAGTTGCGAGATTAATCCGGATTACAAGAACACAACGTTGCGAAGAGTACTCCTTTCGATAAATCTCCTCAGGCGATGTTGTCTTTGATCTGTTGACCAGAAGGATTTCCACTGCAGTGGCTAGAACCTTCCCAGCCGCATGCCCACACGTCCTTGCGGAAACGGCCCCCTTTATAGCTCAACGCATTAAAGATAGACTTCCGGTTCAGTCCCAACCTTATATTTTATATCAGTTTACCTGCGCCTGTGGTGCGAGGTACGTGGGACACACAACCACGCGTCTGTCTAAACGCATTGTGGAGCACTGCCCAGCGGCTTTGCGGAAAGGCATCGTCAGTCGCCCCAACAGTTCCATCCTGGAACATCTGGTGGAAAGCGGGCACCGAATTAGGACCGCTGATGCCTTCCAAGTACTTTATGTAGTAAAACCACGATACACTAAAGGGCTTAGAAAGCAAATCTTACGGACGGCCGAAGCGATTGCGATTAGAATATTTCAACCGGAATTATGTAAACAGAAGGCCTTGCTGCAAGGGCTTCTTCTACCCTGGCCCTAGTTAGCTCGCTAATTTTTACCACTTCAGGCGCCTACAGTGGTCGGATGATGCACTTGGCATCCCACCGATCAACTAACACGTGCTTTGTCACATGTGTTGTTAGTCGACTTAATTGATCAATACTTTTGAGTTTCTGTTTGTCGTGATTCCACTATTCCCATCACTTTGGCTCCATCAGCCATTTGTTTTGTGCCTTTCCATTTTATAATTGTAAAAGCCTGAGGAGATTTATCGAAAAGAGTACTCTTCGCAACTTTGTGTTCTTGTATTTCCATGGGTATAATCTACGAATAATCCGGATTAATTGCTATCGTCTTTGTGTTTGGAATAGCCGAGGCCGACGGTATTGGTGGTGAAAATTCTATTGGATAAAAAAGTCATAAATTTCCTGAGGTGCTGCGCTGCCTCATGGTAAACCATCCTGCCATCGTTCGCAATCGGGCAGGATACACGCACACAAACGGTGCACACTGTTAATGTCCAGAGATAAGCGGTAGGTTACTAATTTAAGTGGAGCTGAATTTCCGTGACGTGTGCTTTTACTATACGTGCACAGTGTCAAGGTAACCAGGAGTGCGAGTGGTGAACGGCAGTTAACGGAGAAACGTCTGTGACCGCGTGTACGTGGGCGGTGCCGTGAGACTGCATTAGAGAAGGTCGATGCGCGATACAAAGGCTAGGTACGGTTTAAAACATTGGAATGCTTCAGGCGACGGTGCGTGACCATTTCTTAGTGCATTCGTTGCGGACATCGATCCAAGGGGCCTCACCAACGTTTGCTGCCGACTAATGTTGTTACTTAATCACTGCTATTCTATAAAGAAAACCTAGCACATCCGCGCACAGAGGGACAGGTTGCATAGTCCTGATTACAGGGTGATACTGAGGGCAAGCCACATCAATCTTCATTATCGTCCATACAGGTTAGCCTAGGGTGAGAAACACACCTCAGCTAATATGCCACAATACAAAAAAGTAGGACATTAAGCAATGCAGTCTTCGAAGCTATAGAAATGTCAAGTAATGCTAATCTCACATTTTTAATGGTTGTTGGAGGGGGAAGCTAAAGAGAAGGGAAGGAACGAAGAGACCCACAGCACAATTACCACTGAGGTCGACTCTTCGCCATGTCAGCTAGTGTATCCAACCAAATGTGTTGATCGTTCTTCGGTCCCCAGCCAGGCAATCGGGAAACACCAACCGACGCCAACTTCGAAGTGACTTCATTCCTCTTGACCAAGTCATTGCTTGGCAGGGCAAGCACCAACCGACTCAGAATACATTGAGGGAGTTCTTTTTGCTGTATCATTGATTATTTACCTCGGGATTTCACTCGACTACGTGTAGTATCCGCAAATTACTAACATAAGCCACGACAATCGGTGCACATGACCGTCACCGAAGGTGGGAGAGTCTCGCCAAACACAGAATGATAATCTGCCTTAATAGTTGTGGTTCGGCTGCCTCACTAGCTATAGTTCGCAGTCATCCATGATCAAACAAGCTCAATCTCTTAATGTCCCCGCGCACAGTGGCCAGATCAGTGATACGGACAGTCAGGCACTAGACGCACTACAGTGTTGTAAACCAATTCTCTAAACACTAAGCTTAAAATTTGCCGTCGCCATAAGTAACAGAAATTGTTAAAAGTCATACGAACCTTAGCGATGCGTGCACTAACCTCTTAGGTGACCGGTCCACCGTCAGTTATCCAGATTAATGAACTGAGCGACAGCTTGGAAAAAGTGTTCGTTAAGAGCCGGTGATTCAGTGTTAGTGATAACCAGTGATCCTATTCGGTCAGAATACAGTCGCAAGAGCGAGAGAGTAGGATTCTCATATGCCTCATCAGGGTGACAATTGTGTAACACAGAAAGCAATCAGAAGATGCGCGCAGTACGTGTCTAAGCTAATATGGTTGGTTACAATGCGAGAGATGGTCCATCGATGCAACAGGAAGTTGTTAAACACCAACGTTGCTCAAGCAGTGGTCCCACCTGAAGTGAGCAGCACTGTTTGCTTTTGGATGAACGAGGACGGACATGTAGTGCTGTCAGCGCCTAAAGCCTAGGCATTCGATTCACAGCCTACAGCAACAGCACAGCCTCAATTGTTAAGCGAGGAAATCGATGGTGCGCTTGTTTGTTGAGCTAATCCAACCGGTTTTCCATGAGGAACTCGCTAGATAGACGAGCCAAATCTACTACTATCGTGTCTGACTCAAAACAGGCGGAATTTTCACGTCAGTTGGCCACATCATCGATCAGACGCCTCAACGTTTCATGCAACTGTATGTATCAACGGTAAGCAATTCACGCCAAGGCAGTCAGTTCGCGGGCATGTCAAGATCATGACATGAGCGAGCTAAACGATACAACCGACATTCCGTTGAGGACAAGATAGAAGGTGTCGCCGATTAACAATAGTCTCCCTCAGTACTCCTCACCGACAGCAAAACATTCAGACACCGGTTAGCCGATACAATATGTGCGGTGATATTTGCAACGTGCTGTGGTCAGGTCTTTGAGACAAACAAAAACACTACTCGCACCGGAACGTCGCATCAGCGTTATCGAGCATTACGCTAACACTCCACCATTGCCGTAGATAGATGAAGGAGAGAAAAATCGACCAGACCCAAATGATCATCGTGATAGCAGCAGTTTAGACGATTCGGCCAGCAGATGGAATCTATGTGTAGTGGGATGTAGGTCAAGTGACCATTTTCAGTGATTATGCGTTGATTACGGGGACAGGTTGAGTCACAGTGCCACAAAAGCACTCGACAATCATAGGGTGAAGAGCGCAAGCTGTATTCAAGTCAAAGCACAAACGCGCTTTTACGAATATGCGAATGGTAGATTTTCAGCAGTATGCAAGGTTCTGTTTCGGCTGTTCAACTACGTTTGTGATGAGGAACAAATACGAGCATTCATCGTCGAGCAGTTGCATAGCAGAATTACCATCCTATAGAAAGAAAAAGCAGCGGTCATACACGACCATGTCAGTTACTAAAACGAAAAACGATGGGGAACATGGAGGTCGTAACGCAGGCTACGGGTCTGTTAGGTGAACTGCTCATTGCTCGTTTGTACTAATCTTTCCGTATTTCATTTCAACCTACTTAACTCAGTTGCTTGCTGAATAAAGCCTATTCGCTCGGGCTCATACTCTTTTCACTCATCGTATTCCGACTCGTTCAATTCCATTACAGGGTCGTAGAGTGTCTGGTGCACTCGTACAAGTCCTGGGAAACTAGGTGTAAACATTACGGGATGGAGAAGAATGTCACTGATAAACGTTTAGTGATACGAGGCGCCATCAACAGTTGTGAGCAGGTGAACCCAAGCAATGATACAATATCGTGATAGATTGCTTGTCCATGTATGCTGATGTCCTAGAACTGGGGAAATGTCGCCGGTGCATCTCAAACTGGAACGAAATCCAATCTGACCTTCAATGATTTGGAACTCGCGAGGACAGGTGCGATGCTGGGGCATGATGTTTGTGGGAGGTTGGAGGGAAAGTGAAGTAATGGTAACCGATTGGATCAAAAATGAACGACTCGGACACAAGGGCTCCCCAGACCCAAACCACAATTGACCTTAAATCGCGAGTCGATGTGGATGATCAGTGGGACAGAGAAGATGGAAATCAAGGCGATGAATACGTAAAACGAGCGACACAGTGTAAGCGTTCACTAACCTTGTTTTTCATTTTCCAACTGTTTCTCGAGATTTCGAATTTGTTCCTTCAAACACTTGACGACGTCGGACTTGAAATGTAAAGGCGACAGAGTAATCAAGTCATAAATGAAAGATAGTGGCAAATTAACAGGTTTCGACAGAGAAGATATGCATGAGGAAGTAGAGGGGAGAGGAAGTCAAGGCGGTAGACAATTGCAAGTGTGAAGTAATCGCTTGGGGAAAGAGTTAAGATGCTTTTCAAGTGGGTTCTTCCACGTGTTGCTGTCAACTCGGTTGTTCACGCACACGAGGCAGCGCATGATCAAACCAACTGGGTAGTCTCACTCAGAAGATACCTAGATTTCAGGGCATAGTGATGGGTGGGAAATAACCCCAAAAACAATAGCCTGTCGTGAGAGCATCGAAAAAAAGCTAGGGAATGAGAGCGGCCTCACATCATATCTAACACCTGCATGAGACTTACGGCTGTTGTGTACCAGCGAAACATCGGCAAAGAGTACATCAGTGATGAGTGATGAAACGAACAGGTATAGGAGGGATAGTAAAAGCGCTTGATCCCAGCGGTATACACACAGGCATTGAGACCGTGTTGCGTAGCACGGTGAATAAAGGATGTGGGGGGAAATTCTGTGTGGTTTAAATGGTCATTCCACGTAGTATGGGCAGTTAGTTACTGGAAGTGGCCAAAGTAGCCAACACCTATAATGACGGTAGGTCTGATAAGTCAAGTGTCACGGAGGCGAAACAGCAGCTGACTACGATGGTGCACACTAGGGGGGGCGAGATCGGCCAGATCACGTGAGCGGCTGACAGACTCATTGTCATGGTCAAACGGGAAGGTAACAAAATCAGACAACAGATGTGAGTCACCTCAGCGAGGTAAGCGCATGTGACTTATAAAAGTAGCCCTGTTCTGTGCCTAATATACTTCGGTCTAGCAGGCTCGGTGTTTTGTTTTCCCCCCGGCTGGTTGATAGCGCAGAGAGGCAGAGGCAAAGGGCAGCGTCAAAACATAAAGTAACTGAGTGAAGGGTATAGAATATATTGCAATGCGTTCGCGAGGCGCAATACCTAATGATTTCATACACTGAAGAAAGGTAAAAAAATGCTCCACTCTCCGTGAAGATTGCGGCATTTTACGAGTGGCAATTCCCCGCTATGTACCTTAGACATTAAAATACGGTCAATTGCCCACCCCAACTTTATAGGACGTAAGTAAGCTGATGACACTGTTTTAGGCAGCATTGCTCCCCCAATGCTGTGTCCAAAGCGAGTTACATACGTCTCAGCGTGCTTGTGCTCAACGCTACAAAATCCCGTGACGTATTTTTCGCTCTCTCCTACACTGACAGACTTCCGACTTCGACAAACCCTTCTCGCCGCATGGCCGCTAGCAATCACATCAAGCCCAGTTCATACAATAATAAGTACCAGGTATTTTTATCGCATAATCCGTCGCGGTCACCATACATTGACGAAACGTTCCATAAAGTAAGAAAATTATCATTTTATGCCCCGAAACTCTAAACGCTTTCATATCCTGCTTTTTAATCTAGAATATTGTGACGGCCTGAATTCTTCTTCACTGACGTTACTGTTCACCTCATATTTTTCATGGTCATTTACAGAAGGACTTCATTTCATTAAGCTCATCTCCAGGTGCAGTGGACTGTCAAGAATCTCTTGTTGAATTTATCGTTACTAAGCATTTTGGTGTGTGACAGCTATTTGTTAATGGTTTTAAATAATTCTTTTCAACACTTACACGCTGATTTATCAAAAGCCCTCAACTGTTTGTCTAAGCGTACCAGGTTCAAGGTTTTGTCTTCCCGCATATCGTATCATAACGCCAGTTTACCGTATTTATCCTATTTTCCTGTGGACTCTAAGATTATCAATAACCTGCCTGAACGATGGGATATTTTATATTTCAAGTATACTCTTCTAGAAGAGCATAAAGCTCTGAACCATCCTAGCAAAACAGCTGAATTAGTCAAACTATTCCGTGCAGGGAGTTCGCGTTGCAGCGACAATTTCAATTTTATTACCACGCCTGATGGAACATATCTCGACGTACCAGGTGATATCTGCGAAGCTTTCACTGCTTATTTTACCAAATCAATGGTAAGTGAATCATCAGACACACCAGAAGTTATCATGTCGCATAACAGTAAAAGTCTATGCACAGCGAAATGCACTGTAGCGAAAATCACTAGTCAACTCTCTCTCGCTTATGCTCTTCAAGTTGCGCAGACCCTGATGGAATCCCCCTTGTTGAATAAAAAGCAGTGGTAGTGACTTCCTTCTGCTTTTGCTCAAGATCTATACACTTTTTAAACAAGGGAGTATATCCCACTCAGTGGAAAACTGTTGTCGCTATTCCACGATACAAAAAATTGCGCCGTCTACGAGGGTAATAAGTTTCTTCCCATCAATCACACACCCATCGTATCTAGAATAATGGAAAGAATAGTGAAAGATTGACTAGTTGTATTCTAGAACAAGGCTAACATCATCAGTAATTCGCGGCACGACTTCAGTTAAGGTCGATCCTACGCAACATGTCAGAGTGACTTTCTAACCCACCCAACGGAAACAGTATTGTAATTCAGTTCCTGGATACGTAAAAACCTTCGATAGAGTACCTCACCGAAGTTTATTGAACAACCGGAAGGCTATAGACATTGGAGAATCAATGTTCTCTTGGCTGTCTTCATACCTAATTGGTAGACTGCTAGTGGTGCATATCGACGAGCATTTCTCTACACCGAATGCAATCACGAGTGGAGTGATTCAAGGGAGTGTTCTTGGTCCTCTTCTTTTGCTAATTTATATTGACGATATATTCCAGAGAATACGAAATGGTGTTACATTTATCTTTGCTGATGACATTAAAGTTGTCTACTCACAACCATGTGCAAATGCCCAGGAAACCGTACGTCTCATTCAGAATGATTTATCTGCCCTTGACTCCTGGTGCCAACTGTGGCAGATGTCATTTGCCATGGACAAGTGTAATATTTGGTGGTACAAATGCCACAAGTACCGCCAGACAGTTTATTATTACGTGGCGCATATATCTCGCAATGCAGGGCAGTTCGCGACTTGGGCGTGCAATATTCAGTCCCCTGGAACTTTTCTGAACATTGTGACTTTCAAGTTTTGAAAGCCATGAAGACCATCGGATATATATGCCATCATTTTTACCTCACGGACTCTCGCATCTGGCTTTACAAAAATATAAGTATTGCCTTGTATGAAGTACTGTTCATTGATCCAGTTTAATCTGCAAAAAGCTGACCAGCATGCTCAGGAGAGGGTCCAGTGACGCTTGACGAAAAAGCCATTTAAATATTCCTCAACGATGACCTACGGAGAGCGATGTGATAAACTTGGATTTGACCCAGTATGGCTTCGGAGAATTAAGAAGAATCTATGTTTTGTTTACAGAATCATAAACCGTCATATTCGTAGTCTTGATAACGGTGTTTACACATTTTTAAACAGCAGATATCCAATCCGTAACAAAGAGATAAAGGTTATGATTTCAAAATTTACTACGACAATCAGAGAAGGTTTTATTGTAATCCACTGCACAAAGATTTGGGACAAACTTTCCAGAGATATCAAACATGACATAGACTTTGCAATCGTAAGCTTGTGTTTTAGTAAGCAGTTAACCTTCCAAAACGTGATCAGTATGTTAGGGACATCACAATCCCTAGATAAGACTTTGGAAAACGGTATCGGTGGTGCCTGAATAAATGTTCAAAATGCATACATACAATATTTTGAACTACAGCCCATTTCATCTAATTTCATTTCGTTCTCAGCCCGAACATCTGTCATGTGACTCAGATTACTTTGTGTTATCTAAAGTTGAAATTGCGCCCATGAGTATTTTTGAAAAATTATTAATGCAACGGCATGAAAAGGATGTAGCATTATTTGATCTGTTCCTTCAAGGGAACAGCTTCTCGCACCGTCGAGGAATATAGAATTACCTTACTTATCCGCAGTACCCATGTAAAATGCTGAAACTGTTCCCAGTCGGGTGCATAAAGCCGAGTTTGACTACTTTAACTGATAAATATACGCTAAAAACGCAGTCAGATAGCCCCTACGTACATGACAGAAAATCCAGGGTTGCAAGGTGGACACGGGAAGTGGCCAGGTTTTTCAGGGTGCAACAACGTGAAGTGGACAACGGAAAGTGTGAAAAAGAGAACGGATCGCTTAGCTTCCAGTGAAACGAAACAGTATCTGGTCAACGAATCCACAGGAATACTAGTTGCCATGCAGCGGACCACTGAGTGCAGCATCCAGTGGGTATACTCACGTCGTCTGCATGGCTGGCGGTCATCAGGCGTTCGGCGGCATCGCTGGCACTCCGGGCCTGTTTTAACGAGGCTTCCTGCATGGTGGATATCTGGGCGTGGTCGCAGATGAGACGAACCAGACGACGGAACACACTGAAGAAAGAGAAGCGAAAACTGGGTGTGTACGTCGGTGCAACACAGGAAGACGAAGAGGAGCTTTAAGCAAAAACAAAAACATGATCGTTAAAAGCCAATGCGATTTCGGATAATGGGAAGGTGTTCAGTGCTCTACGTTTCTGCCACAAAAGAAGAGGGTTCCAACAAGAAGGGTCCACCAGCAAATGAGAGTTCTTTAGGATTGCTCTAGGTGAGAAACATTCATGCTCAGTGAGTACCGTTAGGTTGAGGATCCGGAAGAGACGGAAAACTGTTTGGTAAGCGAGTGCAGGTGGTGTGCTGACTGATTCGCTTCATATCAAGGAAAAGGCTAGTAATACGCAACGTAATTAACCCACCTTGAAAGACAAACATTAGAAGTGCGCCATACTACTTCCGAGGTGGAGAGTCTGTGAAGCAGTAGAGTTGTTTACATTTATCGAAAAAAGTGTGGTGCGATAATCTAGTTTGTTTGGACGAATCCGCCCAACCATTCAGTTGTGCACTAGTACCTGGTACTACGAATGTTTGTGAACAAAATGTCGTTTTCCAAGTTCTTCAGTCTATTGGCTGGCCGTGGGAGGTCACCATGGGAAAACTACGTCACACGAATGCTCCAGCTGGTCTTGTAGACATTTGATGAAATGGGACCAAAGCCGGAGTGTCAGCAGATGAAGGTGTACCTATTCGGGCGAAGATTTACCACTTGGTCATAACTACCATAATGCCGTTAGGTGTACATGTGGGCGGTATAACAAATGTGTGGGTGTGTTTCCTACACATATACCCTCTCTTTGCCAATGTCTTATCCGGGTATGACTGACATACTTCTCAAACTAGGTGGCTGGCTTGCCGAACAACCACCTCGTGGTGCCAGGTGGGTGGATCGGGATTTTCCCGTTCCAGCAAATGGTTCGGCGGCAGTGTTCCAGGAAGTGGTGGGTTTTCGCCTCGCAAGCGTTCTCCCTATAAAAAGCCACATATGTCCGTTTAACAGCACTGTGACGTGATGAACGTGACTCGCCACTAAATAAAATCACTGTCCCTTGCTTCATCTTGGCGAAACATTGTATTCCAGCAAGTTTAGGCTGTAATTTTGGGCCCCTGTTTGACAAAGGAACAAATGAAAGGCGTATGAACTGAGCAATCAGTCACCGGCTCCCAATGGGCGCAATTCCCTGAATTCGCTCCGCTGACTTGTGGGCAGGCTATTCAGCCAAAGGCTCGGGGTGGTGTCCCCTAAGTCAACACCCTACTTCGGCTTGGGCAACCGGGTAGTATCTCGCCCTCTGACGAAACCATGGACTTTGATGTGTTGTGTTGTGTTTTCTTTTACTATTTCTGTACCTTCTATTGATCCCCATGGTTTCCGATGGCTCAATGTCTATACATAAACTGTTGCGAAAAAAATCTCAAACTAGGTACACCACAGGCACCGACTGCATTTATGTCGGTATAGATTCGTTTTCACTGCCGCTCCACACACCATACAATTGTCCCTGTTCCCTCTGTCTCGAAGTATAAAAGTTGGATTGACTAGGATCCATGAGAAGTTGTCGGCATGCATGAAAGCACTTGTTGCACCGTCATGAAAAATATACAGGGATAATTCCAAAGAGAAACGCAAGTGGTGATTTCAGAGAAAACAAGTGTTTTCGATGTATTCGTCATCAGACTCATGACAGAAATAAACGGTAAAAAAGCTGACAAATAAGTTGTGGGTAGAAAGAGGAACAACTGGTCAAAAAACATTGGAATCGAGTTTAATGATAGGCGTCTGGCGATCATGTGGTGGATGACACGTGTGATTGCTGGGTTAGGTCCGACACTTCGCGCTTGCATGATGGCCATGGGAACTGTAGCACTTGGAGGTGTTTCTTTTGGATGCATAGGTTCGGATTTGTTAATCTTATGTATACCGCTTCCGCGATAGCAAGTAGTCGCGCACTCAGCCGATGGTTCGGCTGGGAAGGTGTAGTGTACATGATCTCAAAAGCAGTCTTTTTAACGATTTGATGGCTAGTGCTAATCAGATGATCTGTGATCGCACTTAAGTTGGTCCCATCTTGTTTGTTCATGAGCCCACTGGGTAGAAGTTTTTTGATTTGTTTGCACAAATACCTGGTCGTGCGTCCAACGTACCTAGACCCACAGGGACGGGTAAACCGGTAAACTATCATAGACTGGAGATGGCCGGGCACTTCGGCATTGAATCTATGAACAAACAGTAGCTCACTCCTGAGGACAACTTTTAATTGACCGGCGTTGAATGTTTCTTCACAAATTTGCACCAGTCGTCGCACACACTTCTGACACGTTATCGCCTCTGAATGGAAGGGCGATGAACAGATGTTTCGTCTCGACTATGTACCGTGCAACTTTCGGACTGCTCTGTTTCATTTGAGCGTCAATGAAACGTTCCGGGTAACTGTTTCCCAGAAGTATCTTTTTGAACCGCTTCAATTATTCTGCGATGGTGTCATCGCTGCAGATTTTATATGCACGGTGTGATGGTGGCTAAAAGCTGGGGCAAAGGGAATCGCCTGCCTCAGTGTAGTCGATCAAGCGATCGATCGAGTGGACGGGTGTTTTTAAAATCACCGCTAGTTGTACATTACTTCAGGCTTGTGAATAGAACGCTTGTGTGCAGAGCCGGCGTGAGTTCTTTCTCTTGACTGGAAGAATCAGGCAGGCAACATGGTGACAGAGGAAAAGAAGAACCCAACGAGCAATCAGCAGCTTTGCTTCGGCTGGTAGCCGTTTTTAGCGATGGCGACTTCATTGCAGATGACGGAGTGTTCGCTGCCCGGAAACGGGTGCTTGTAGAGAAGGAAGTGGATGAACTTCGCGACACTGATCGAGCGGGATGAATATTCTATGTCATATCTGTTAGCCATGTTCAGGTATGCCATCGGCCATGATACGATGCGGATACTAGACGCCTGGAATTTCTGCGATCACGACCAAGAACCGGATCGTCTAGAAACATTCGAGAGATTTGGTGATTATTGTGAAGGCCGGTTACACCATTTCGTCCGTTGCTGTCACAAATTAGGAGTTGATGGTGTAAATCAGTAAGAAGCGCAAGAGATTTCAGTAAATAACAAGTGAGATCATAATGAGGAGGGATGCGGTAATGCAAAACTGGTGATACAAGGACAACTAGTTCAACCGCAAGCTGATACTGGAGCCACCGTACATTTGCAATCTAAAAAATCCATTAATCGTCTGCAAGATCGTGTTTGAAAGGGTTCACGGCGGCGAAAAACGCGTCACAAAAACTAACCCAGACAGCCTCATACTCTAGCGCCTGGAGATGAAATTTGGTTTAAACAGACCTAGAGTTGAAGAGCATCGGAAGAGAAGGGCAGCTGGGGGTCGGAAAGGGAAACTATCGAATACGGCTGAAAAGGCAATGAGGTGAACAGGCACTGCACTCGGACGAGAAGCCACAGCAACAGAATACGCCAGCTAAGATCGCAGTCCTGATTCGAAAGCTCTGTTGCAGTGGAAGGCGATACGGAACTTGCAACAGCAATACAAGGAAAAAATAAAAAGGAACGGATGTGATAACTGAAAGCTGGGGCGAAGGGAATCCTTTGCCTTAGTGCGGTCGACCAGGCGATTGATGCAGTGGGCAAGTGCGTTTTAAAATCACTGCTAGTTGCACATCATTTCAAACTTGTGAATAGAACGCTTGTGTGCAGAGCCGGTGTGAGTTCTTTCTCTTGACGCGGCTGGGAGAACCAGGCATGCAACACACGGTTTGTTAAAGTGCGAACCAGCGTTCTTTTACGGCTGAGTGGAACAAAACTTTGGAAATGTTTGCACTGACCTGTCTAGTACGGGCTATAGCATCCCCAGCAATAGGACTTCAACAAGCAACCAACATTATCCGACAGTTGCATGTCCTGTGAGGCATGAACTACAAATGGAACAACCACTGCACTGGTAGGAAGGACATCAAACTCCAGCTAACCATATCCCGAATCGACTTTGACTCTTAACCTGAGTGCCTGTTATTCATAAATTCTATTACGTATTGGCTTAACAGGTCGATGATTCTGACTCTTCTTGTCACCATGACTACGGGCTACAATATCTTTGAAAACGCCTTCAGAGCCCATGCCAACATATTTATATTTGTGTATGCTTCAGATGAGGTTTACTACAGTTTTGCAATACGTTGGACAGAATAAGTTGTGTGCCATGTATACGTGGGCCTAAAAACTCATTCTGGTAGTAACTACGCACCTTCCGGCGCAATTCTGTACGCACTGAGTGATTTACAGTAAACTTACAATGATTATTTTCATTCTTCTGGGCCGCAATTCATTGTGAAGCTGCGTCGCAATGACTATGCCATTTTGAAATTAAACTTTCCCACCATTGGAAAACAATCGGCTATATTCAGAGCTTTGAATAGAACTTGCACACATAAAAACTGGACCAGGCACACTAGGAAGCATATTGCGCCGTCGAGAAATATAAGATTTAATAGTATTAATAGTCCCCGTGGCGGAGCTGTACGCTATCACGCGTGTCCCCAGGTTGCGGATCGAGGAACGGCTTTCTTGCGGAGGTAACTGCGAATAAGTCTCGTTTGCCTTCCAGTTGCGGACAATCAGCGGCAGCGTCTCAGAAGCTGGGGAGTTCTGGGCTGGTCACCTAGTTCTGCATCAAATAGCACAAGAGCTCGTATGGCGCTGTATCAAAGCCAATGTGTCTGGCTATGGGGTCAATGACCACTCACTTCTGTAACCAGAAGTGAGTACCTTGTTGGCCAACGGCTTCTCTATGGACTTCTACTGAACACAAAGAAGGGAAGTGAGCTGCCCGGATGGCAACGGTCTCCGTTAGTCGTCCCGCTGCTTGCGGGTCAGGTCTTTATGACCAAAGGCTCGGAGTGGGGGCCCTTAAGTCAACCCTCTTCCTCGGAGTGGGCAACGGGGAAGATCTCTACCCGCACAACACATTAACCTTGTAAACCTTTCCACTGTATACCTGTTCTCCCCTTTTTGTCGTTGTTGTTGATGTTGTTAACTATGTACTGCGGCACCGCCAAATGTGTATTGATCAGGTGTTGAATAATAATAATAATAATAATAATAATAATAATAATAATAATAATAATAATAGTCGGATTCATTAAGAGGCAGCTCCAGAAATTGAGCACTCATGTGTGCCTGCTACGTCGAATGGGGCAGCTTCAGTGGCTAAATGATCGACTGAAACTTCGTTCATTTTTGCGAGATGGGTACTAGTAAAGGAGTTCCAAAGTCAACAGCGATGATGCGACTGATGCTCGTAAATAAAGACGAAAAGTGATTACGCAGAGAGCAGAACACTTCGGATAAGCGCGATTCATGATGCCGAAATAACGTAATAGACCATATCTCGGAAATGCAAACACTGCAGAAGACTATAGACAACGCTGATTCAGTGAAATGGGTTTGATCGATGTGTATGTTCAGGTACTGAAGACTAAATGGGCAGACAGCGAGATAATACACTATTATCGGTAAAGACGGTGGAGCCAAATGAAATGCTTAGAAATACATCGACCGGTGGGAGCCGTGGCAGTGGACGAAGATGCTAGCGAGTACCAAAAAGAAAAAGTACGCAGGAGCAAGGACTGGAAGGCAAGTACTTACAACCACATGAATAAGGCGAACCCGGCGATATAGAGATTGCGCTGCGCTCGGAACATACGCATCAGATAAAGTGACTCGGTCTCGGGGCGCAGATCCGTTGGGCGCGCTTTCAAAGCGGTGTAGGCACTTCGTTGATTCATCACTTGACGCGAAGCCTCTGTGCGGAGAAAAGCAAAGTAGATACAAGTGAAACGAGAGCGAAAGAGAGAGGAGTGATTTGGAGTAACCAATGTGCACTTGAACGAGCAGTTGCGATTTGACCTGCAATTTCCTTTGAAACACATCTCGAATGTTGTCGGCTTCAGTCCGAGCAACAGAGTAGTAGTAGTAGTAGTAACCAACAGTTTAGTAAATAGACACAGAGCCAACAAAAGCCATGGAGACAAGAGAATAGTAGGTAAAGTCGCCGTGTCATAATCATCGTGGCACAGTAGTTGAAGGTGAACAACACACTTCAGCTACTGAGCCGCAGGAAGTAGGGAAGCTATTTTATTTTTCACGCGCTACATTTTTTAATCTTTTTGATTATTAGGCATCAAGCTTCTGAATCTAAGCAAGTATGTACACAAATCAAAGGAACGTACAATTTGACAAAAAACAGAACAGGTCATTTTTACATGGCTTTTCACACTCCGATTTTGCTCTTTCTTGTCATGTTTAATGTTTGAGGCACTAAACAAGTGAACTAATACAATTCTGTACACAATTCTTCCACTGATCCCGATTGCGGGCCATGTCTTCAAGCGTGTTAAATCATTAGAACTCCTTATCCTTGGGTCCTCATCCTGGAAAAGGTGCAAGTCCAACGGCGGCGATTTCATGTGCTGTCGCCAAGTGGAAGGCTGACTACCACGCGGTCGCCTCAGCCAGGTCCTTGACGAGTGGCAGACAGGATTTGCCATGTATGCATTCGATGGCACCATGAAATCTGACCCAATTGGGGTGCTGATAACAACAGTGATTAGATTTCGTGAAGCCGTCTTCCGCCTAGCTGCTATCGCCGATTTTCATCTACTGGTGTCAGTATTTTAAACTCGTAAAATGCTGAAGATGAAAACAGCAGATGTGATCTCCCAGTGAGAAAACATTCGATGAAAGATGGGGCTACTGATGAGGGCGCTGTGAGTACTCGCCGTCCGCCTCAACCAATGGGAAGCTCAAAGGGAAGCCAGGTGAACGCGAAAGCCGTGTGAAGAAGTGGACATACGCTCGGCGATGTTATTGTTCCCCACGTCGTGCCGTGTTGCTCTGATTGGTTGTGTTGGACCCGATCGCTCCTAATGGCTGATCAAGAGGGTGAGGCTACGGTCATCAGCTTGATCGCCGCAAATTACAAGGCGCAGACTAGCGTTATAATATATGTTTCCCGTGACCTTGAAGGTATACTGCTCTCTTCTATTCCTTACCTACCAATAACAGTAGTAGATTGCCCGAGAACATTCTTTGGGTCGACCAATGCGATTATTCTACTGGATTCAGGGAAAAGGTTGGATGTTAGTCGATATGGGGTTTACGTATCTATTCCTTAGGTGCTCCGACTAACACGGTGCAACTCAGGCGGTTTGTGCAACGGAGCAGTATTCCCTGACAATGACTGCAGTGTGTAATCAGCGAAATCTAGAAAGCAAGTTCCTGATCCACAATTCGATGACACCCACAACTTGTATTGGTATCCACGAAAGCCATGCTTTATGGCTTGGCAGAACGTGGGCTGAACGCTATCCATCGTTTTGCAAATACATCGACAAACAAAAACCGTCTTCTCGCTGAGTAATGCAGAATAAAAAATTAATCAATGTGCTTGAGCATGATAAATAGAGAGTTATGGCCAACAGGTCGTCCCGTCGTCATGCGGAACAGAACCCAAGTGAATTTGTCAGTTAGGTGCCCACATTTAAAAGGGATCCTACAACTTACCATCACTAGATGCAATCTATGTTTGTCGAAATACAAATGTGACCGAAGCCACCAAAGACAACAGTGCGCGTGGCTCTGATGTTCAGACGATTTTCACTAAACGTCTTAAACGCATGACACAAGCATTTAATCGCAAAATCCGGTGATGGAAGACAGCTCAAGATGCGCCGGATCAATGATACCCTCTCGTAATGCACATGACAAAGGTTCGCATCGCGCAAGCTGTCGGAAGCGGCCGGTTGTAAGAGAATCCCGCGATGACAATAGTTATGGAAAGTGAGTTTGAAAGCCGCTTGTGATCCAAAAATTGACAACAAACGTTAGAGATTATGAACGCTCAGGTGGCATGACTTAATCGTAGCCACAAACACACAAACGATGTGATGATCTAAAGGAAAACTAGGCTGATTCAACCGAACGGGAACAACGTCTGTCTAAAAGGTGTCATAGCAGTCGAGCACGGTTCGGAGCAAAGCGCTTAGCAACAGACAGATAGGGTCGCCTGCTGCCCTTCACAGTAAAGGTCACGATAGAGGAGGATGAAACCATGTTGATGTTTGACGTCGCCGCACTATTCACACCGATCCAATGTGAATTTGCAGAAGAAACTGTTGCAATTACTTCGAAATTCATCCGACACGAGAGAGTGCATGGGAACTCCTGGACATCTGTATGACTAAGCGTTTCCACTTTGAAGAGCAAGTGTAACAACAGTTGAAAGGAATACCAATGGGATCGCCAAGATCAGGACTTGTTGCAGAAGCTGTGAAGCGGGAATTGGGGGGGGGGTATCGCAATACCAATGATCAAACTAAAAGTATGGATGCGGTACGTCGACGACACGTTTGTCACCATCAAACGGGACTCCATACAAAAGACGTGTGAGCTAATCAACAGCACATTCGAAGATATCAAGTTTACCATCAAATTGGAGAAGAACAAGGAGTTACCGTACTTCAATGTGCTGGTTCACAGGGATACAGACGGAAAACTTCAAACTTGTGTATATCAAAAGAAGTCACCCTCATACAGACCAAATATTAAACGACAACGGCAACCACCCACTGAAGCGCAAGAAAAGCTGCATCCAAAGCCGTTTTAGAGGAGCCTAAACACCATGTAGCAAGATGAAATTGAGGAAGGAAGAGAACCATCTATACTGAGTATTGCAAAACTAGGGGTATCCAACAAATTTCATCAGAAGTAGTCTGATTAAAAGAGTGCCCTCACAATAGAAGAGCAGAGAGCTAAACCAGCAGTGCTTCTGTACATTAAGAACGTGTCTGAACTAACAGCAGGATTGCTGTGACCACATGGAATCTTGGTAGCTCATAAACCAAATGCCACTTTGAGAGGATTGCTCTCAAAGCCGAAGGACAAGGTTAAAGAAGGCAGTCAGAAGGATGTCATCTACAGGATAAACTGCAAAGAATGTGACAAGTAGTACATTGCACAAACTGGACGGAAACTGGCAACACGGATCACAGAACACAAAGTGGTCATAAGCAGACATGATCCACATTCCTTGGTTTCCATACATGAAGATCAGGAAGGCCATCACTTTGACTTGGAGAACGTAAAAACCCTAGTACGTGGAAACTTGAAAGCTCAGCGAGAATTCCTGAAAGCGTAAAATTCAACAACCAATTCATCAATCAACCGACACGTTGAAATAAATGCTGTATACGCGGTACTACGGATGAAGGATAACCATTTTAATCAACTAAATCTAACGGAACGGAACGGAACATAGAACATGTTCGTCGGAAGACGAGGTCGACCGCAGAGGTCCGCGTGCCAACGTCACGAGGTATGCATCAGAGAAATCAAGTTCGGTGGTCATGTGCTCGTCGAATAATTCGAACTCAGAGTGACGGATCATCATCAACATTATACACTTTGGCTGCAGGTGGAAAGCACCTCAGCTATTGTGCCGCAATACTAAAGACAAGAAGAAAAATACAACACTGGCACGCCGGCTGAGTCCTCAGTAACGGATGGACAGCGTTTCGGAGAGCCAACGGCCGGCTATCGCGCCGCAAAAAGTTACCTTATGCCTAAGAAATGCGATCGTGATTGGAGGGGGAGGCGAAGCAGGAAGGCGGTGGACAAAGGAACTCACAACACAAGGGCCATAGGGGCCGGCTCCTAACCATATCAGCAGATGTGTCCAACCAAACGTATTCATCGTCCTTAGGGCCCTACACAGGCAGTCGGGACGCACCAACCGACGCCAACTTCTAACGAAGGGTTTTCATTTCTCTCGACAAAATCATCGCTTAGCCTCCCCTCCTCCTCTTCCAATCGCACCCCCGGCGCACAAACAATGCACATCGCGCAAGTCGGTGTGTTGACATGCGCAACACGTGGCCCAGCCATTGGAGCCTGGTGAGTGATATAATGGTGCTGAGCGGTTCACTCGCTCATCCTGCACCAAATACGCGAGGCCGAACTCGCTCATTGATCACGCGTGCTCCCACCAGACATGAGCTAAGCTGCGAAGGCAGCGATGATCGAATGTGGCGAGCCTCTTTATGTTTGTCGACCTGATGGGCCAGGTTTCACAACCATATGGGAGAGTTGAACGGACAGATGCGTTATAAACTCTGTCCTTCAGCGCGAGAGTAATGTCGCGTCTGCGCCACAGGTGGCGGCGATTGGCAAAAGCACTTCGGGTTTTTGCTATACGGTTTGTAGCTATTGCTATACGGCTCGTCCGCCCAAACGATCGATCACTCTCGTTCACTACCACCTAGCACCGCGCCACTCCGTTACACACTAGCGGACTGATGATGTCACCTAAGTAGTGAAACGTTTGCAGAAAAACTGTCTAGCTCAGTGAACAATTCGACCACGAATTGAAAAATCTGGGTTACCAATATTTGCTTTTATATCACATGGTTAAGGAAATACGTTGCGAACCAGAACACGAGCAGAACAGATACACGCATTCCAAGGCGAGTAATGGCCAGGGACGAAACTACGCCACCTGAGATCAATGAAGATATGATCAGTTTCGCATTAACCTTTACGAGACACAGAAAGACGCCATTGGATTTATGCAGTTTATTGTACTTGAACGCAGTGACGATTAAAAACAAATTACATTTACCGAATAGTTAAAAATAATTTTCTTGTTGTGCATCCTGAATTAAGTCAGAACATAAAGCATAAGCGCAAAGCTGGAAAGAGACCAAGACAGTGAGGGCGTTCGGGCGTTCTCCGAGCTCGGTACTTTGGATGAGGATGTTTCGTCACCTACATCATCAGTGCAACTTCAGAGAAGTTCACGCTATAGGGTATTTTTGTTACTGTCGGATTTGGGATGTGCAGTGGTCACATAGGTGCGGAGCATAGTTCTATCCTGTCTTGGATGATGCCGGTATACGATATGAAAACAGACTGTTCAAGAAACTCCAATCAAACAAATGAGAGCAGAGCCCATTCCCACTGTATTGGCGTCTCAGGCGTACGCAAACGATAACCAGTTTGTGTCATATTTGGTTTGACAATTACATGATACTTATGAATTGCAGGTTCCGAGAAGCGACACGTATTAGCAAGTAAATTCACTGTAATTATCAACATGCGATTCATGGGCCCCAATGTACTGGATCCACGTGTTTTTACACAAATCAGTGGGAGGTGAAGGGAAAAGGTCAATTCATGAGGAAGCGACAAAAATGAAGACTTCCAGATACCGGAGTTACTGGTTATGGAGTGAATGTGACACATCTGACAGGGTCTGCAGTCACTGATTTGGCCAAGCTTGAGAGGCGCATTTGAGAGGGTCATACGCAAATGACCTGATTAGCCTTTCAGTTTCATCATTTTCTTCGGTTAAACCACTGAGTAAATACTTCTGGGTTTCACCCAACTAGATTCGGCATTGATAAGAAATACCGGTAGAGGTAGCTGGAACGCGAAGGACACGAGTCACTCAGCGCAAGTGGTCTAATTTCAACAGACACTTCAATGCGCACAAGAGGGTCAATGCTAAACACAAAAAGACGAAATTCAGTGTCGCTCACTCTATACCGTCACTAGACACGAGCAATACCTTCCAAGCGTCAGCGGCCAAACAAGAGCAGTTTATCATGGCGCACAGTGGTTGCGTCACTAGTTCACGCGGGAAGACAGATGCACTGCAGCGGTGTACATCCTCTCAGAGTTTCCGCAATTGGTCCGAGTTTCCAATCGTTTTATGAGGCACACCAGTGTGTACAGTACGCGCTTTAATGATGTAACTAAAACAGAATCATTTACCTAAGTAAACTAGTCGACTACGTCGAATGACTGCCTGGTGAAATTGAGGACTGGTAATGTGTCAACACAGACCTGTAACCGTACTTTGCGATGCGATGGAGCGAAACACATATTCAAGTGTGCATTGCTAGGCATCAGCCTATGCGAAAGAAAGCCATGTGTGGTCTGGGCTTGACAGGCGGCTGAATGGAGACTCTATCTAGTGAGGTAGCTCTGAAGGCATGTAGTGTGCCAATCAGCGTCATACCTAGTGGACTACTGAGGCACCAATGCAATGCACCATGTATTAGTCACTTGGATCATGTCTCAAGTCAGGCTCGCTCGCTATAGACAGTCACACGGACCATACACCACCATACACAAAGCTTGAGTCAAAAAGCGAACTGTTACCAAATAAATACATAAGCTGATGTTTGGTAAATCTCTGCAACCATGAATTCTTCACCAGTTCCAAATATATACCAAAAATGCGAGAACTAGAATTCAGTTTATTCGAGTGACATAACGCAAGAACTAGGTAGGGGTTCGTTTGAAGTAATCGTTACGTGAACAGTCGGCGACATGCAAATCTCAATCGAGACGGCAAGACATGTCGAAGCGAACTTTGCTGGTTTCGGCAACCGGGACCGCATGTGAAGCGAATGAATGGCATGTGTTGCTCGCTCGTAGCGCTGCTCTGTATGACCGGTTTCGTAATTAGTTGTATTTGTCAGGTAAAGACAACAGGCCTGTGACTCGAAGTTGGGACTGTTAGTCTATGTCGCTACACCTGCTATTGAGTCTCGGCGGTCAACGCTTGTTACGACGGTTAGGGACTATGTGTGAAGTCATTGTGGAGCACTCTCTGTCGGCCGGTGACCGAGTGATCTGCGCGCCTGGTTTGTGACCATGAGGTCGCCAGTTCGAATACACGTAGGGGTGGACGTCCTCGCGGCATACTCAGCCCGCGCGCGACTGTTGGTAGTCGCGCGGCAGCTAAGCGCCGTTACGACATACAGCTGACGTAGTATTTTTTTTATTCGCTGTGTGACTGAATTGCGGCACGCAGTTTCAATCGGGAACACAATTCACTTATAGGTGAAGATTGATCAATTCGGCAACTGGGAGAGCATTTGAAGCAGATGAAGGTTGAATGTTACGGCAGTTCTGCTATCAATCCGACTAGTGGAGTGGAGTGTTGCGAATAAGTGAGAAATATCTAACATTCACCTAGTACAATAGTTATTAGCACTGACCTCAAGGCCAGCGATCGCCATCGCCCCAACAAGTAACTCGTCCAAACAGGAAAATCAGATATATGTGGTGAGATGTGTTAGTCGTTTCGTGCATACTTACCGATCACGATTATACAAACAACCATAGGTAAACAAAAAATGCGGTCATATGAGATCAGCAGTTGACAAACGATGGTAAGTTCAGATTTAATGTCAGCCAATACTGCATACACAGCAGTGGCCGTTCTCGATCGATGACGGTGGCTCCCTGTGCGTCGAGAAAGTGGGTCGCAGATTGCGCATCAGGATGGTGAATGACTCATCCGGATAGACTCGGTGGCCGGTGCTCAGCTAGTTCTTTGTAAGTGCCGAGACAGTCCGATTTCTCAATTCACACGATTCTGTCGTCACCGATCGCAGCGGGCTGCGTAGGTTCTTGGGAATATGCTCACTCGTCCTAGCATCTAAAATTGCGGGCAGTGCGCCCGACATAGCTAACTTCGCAGCTAAAAGCGAATTAGTATAAGCAATGAAACAAACTGTGCATCTGAAAGCACCAAGGTAGCGCGAGGCAGACAGACTGAGTAACGATTAGCCATCTATTGACTTCATATGATCGTGTTTTGCATATCTATCACTACCCGATTGCGATGGATAAGTATGCACGAAATGATTGGGTCATCTCAAAGCACAACCTTTCTGATTACCCTGCCTGGTATTATAAACGGAATTTATTGTTTCGCTGCTCAAGTTAGATCGCATTATCGAGTTGTCCGGCACTAGTCATGAGGCTTGGAAGCCGCAGCAGTAGTCCAACACCATTGGAACAGGGTTCGGCTTTTCCTACTCACGTCCACACCAGCATGCTGATGCCATTCAGTGTCTGACATGACGTGACTATTATGCTGATAAGCGTCAACCGTAGAGGCAATTGTAAATGTACACGACAAAACTGACGAACAGCTAACGACTGCACATGAGCATAAAAGGCAAAATCAACAAAAGTGCAAAGGAACAGAAATGCAAAAACTTACCGACTAATACGAGGCCCAAAAGAATGAGAAAGAAATTGAAATAATAGTTAGAAAATGCCGTCACTTTTTTCACCCAGCTGCTCTTGAAAAATTTACTCCAACTAGAGACAAGAAGGTACACATTTAAAAATCGATTCTTACCTCCGAGTTGAAAAAAGTGGCAACATAAAGAGAAAAACAACAAACATTTCTACGTAGAGGAAGCCGGCGGTTATATGCCACAACATGTTTGGAGCTGAAAATAAAGTGACTTGGGTTATCTCAAGTGATGCACGGGAGTAAAAACGAAGAAATGGCTATTAATGGATCTTTTTATGTGCTGAATCACCAGAGTGGGTACAAAGACGATACAAGTAGGTGAGCAATAACATGCCGTTGATAGTGTATGTTGCACAGCAAACCAGACACAAATCCTTGAGCACGAATATCAGTAGGTAACTCAAATAGACGGAGGTAAGACAAGAAATAGCGGAAAGGAGTGCAGCAAGTCGCAATCCCATTCGAGTTCGGGTCCAGTCTGGAAATTCAGAATAAGGAGAGGAAGAAGTGCAAGTTGGCTTACCAAGACACATAAGAAGCGAGTAAAATAAGAGCCCATAAATAGGATTGCGTTGATAGAGCCATCCAGAATCTGGTCCAATCAACCCGAGACCACGGCTGTATCTGAACGAACGTAAGGTAGTGATGGGTGAGGCGACTTACGGTGAAGTCAAAACCTTAGAACAGCTGATATGTTGGGAGATGTCGCAAAATGCTTGATACGTTTCGTCCTTTTCATGGGAAAATTCAACGTGCAGAGCGTAAAGACAAACTGAGCAGCCCAACAAGGCGAGTGCGAAGCTTGGGTCAATAAAGCGCATGATGCCAGCACACCACCGATGGTACCCAAGGACCACACGACCGTTCTGTTTTTGGCAGCAAAACCTGGGAAAACAAAGTTTAGTCCACACTAAAAGGCTGAGAATACCAGGAAAAAAAGACGAAAATTGGTGCGTTAGCTAATAGCAGAGAAGAACCTTTCGGTGGAAAGTGAGTCAATCCCAATAAGGATAAAGGGAAAAAAGCAATTGAGATACGGCGACAGAGCGTAGTTTGGCAGATTCAAATGCCGAGAATGAAGTTTCGACAGTGAAAAGATAGTTAAAATTGAGGTCATTCCATCGACAAAGCTGAAAGAGCAGACGCCTGAGCAGGGACATTTGGATGGCGTCCGGTAGATTCGGTGAATGGATCTCCGAGGCGTCTATCAGTTTGATCGAAGCATGGAAACAGGCTCCAATGGGCACTTAGCTTCAACATGTCAGCGTAGCTCGGGCAGAGTGACGGCTTACGGCCAGCGGTCGTCGCCCTTCTATATCTCCCGCGGTGTAAGGCAAGGATGCCCATCGTCACCTTTCCTTTTCAACTTCGCTATTCACGAAGTCATGGAAATCCCAGGATACAGATTTAGAAGGTGTGGATCTGCTCTCAGGAGAACGACTTCTTGAATTGGAGTATGCTGATGATATTGCCCTAATCTGTGATACCTCACAAACAAGCCAAGCTGCACTGGACAGAGTAACACTGGCTGTCCGTCACTTCGGGCATTGCTTCGCACCCTCGAAGTGCGAAGTGTTCCTCCAAGATTGAGTTGGACCGCCTCCTTCGCTGACCATTGGTGGGGGTCAGCTAGAAGTCATCCAGAAGTTCACCTACCTGGGAAGTTGTATCAGCACCCGTGGGATTGAGGATGAGATTACGAACCGTATAGCAAAAGCTCGGGGCGCTTTTGCTAACCTTCGCCACTTATGGCGGCGGCGCGACATCACTCTCGCCCAGAAGAGGAAAGTGTACAATGCAGCGGTACGTTCGACCCTACTGTACGGTTGTGGAATCTGACCCTTTGGATCAAAGGACATAAAGATGCTAGTTACGTTTGACCACCGGTGCCTTCGCAATTTGACTCACATCTGGCGGGAATGACGAGTGAACAACGAGCGTGTTCGACGCCCTGTTTACGGCAAAGGAAAAGAAAATGAACCACTCAGCACTGTTACTTCACCCACCAGGCTCCGATGGCTGGGCCACGTGTTACGCATGCCAGCCCACCGACTTCCGCGACGTGCGTTGTTTGCGCGCCCGGGGTGTGGATGGAAGAAGAGGAGGGGTGGCCAAGCGATGAATTGGTCGAAAGGGATGAAGACCCTCACTTCGAAGCTGGCCCAGGTTTCAGCGTCCCGGCTCCCTGGTTTGGGTCCGAAAGACGATGAACACGTTTGGCTGGATACACTTACTGACATGACTAGTAGCCAACCTCAATGGCGTTCGTGCTGAGCCTCTTTGTACGTCACATCACACTTAACCTCGCCCTCCAACCAAGATCTCATTACTTAACCTTATATAATTTTGCATGGTAAATTTTTGCTGCATATTATCCGAATTGTAGCTTACTGGAACGATGTCCATCCGTTACCGGTAGCTCAGCTAGCTTGCACCTGCTTCATATATTTTCCGTTCTTTTCTTTTATGTATTGCGGTACAGTAGCTGAGGTACTTCCCAAATCTAGCTAACGTGTATAATGATGATGATGTTCGTAACAAGCTGAGGCGACGACTGGCAAAGAGGTATCAGATGGACTGGGAACGTCGTTGGGTGGCTAGGGATCGTGAGATGAAGAAAGCAAATGCTATTGGAAACAGCCGACTGTTGTTCCAGATCATCCGGAACACGGGTCCGAGAAAGACACCAGTTAGTGAGACAACAGCCGAGGAAGATAGACAGTTGCTCTATTATCAACCTGGTCGACCATCCCGTTGGGCGGGACATTTTGGAGAGCAGTTAAGCAGGTCGTGTGCCAAATCGACATAGAAAGTTGATGTTACGTATTTCACGTTGGAAGAGTTACGACATAAGCTTTCCGTGTTGAAACGAAACAAAGCTCCTGACGACCTTGCTCCAACTGCGCTGAAAAAGGCAGGTGACTCTTTGTTGACCGGACTTGCTTCTCTACTTAACATAATTTGAGACACTGAAAAGGTGCTTTACGGCTAGCGACCGTCAGCTGCCGTGCCCATATTCAAAATGAGCCAGCGCAAATTATGCGAAAATGATTGTCATCAACCTTAAATACAATGTCTCCAAACTTCTAATCATCATCATCAATATATGTTGGCCGTGGATGAGAAACACACCACAGCTGACGTGCTGCAGTACAAAAAAGGTAAAGAGATTAAGCACTACAGACTACAAGAGCTAAAAAAGTAACATAATACTAAAACCTCGTTATGCATTCGGTTTGAGATCGTTGTTGAGGTGAGCTAGAGTGGAAACGAGAGACAGAGGCACACAACACAAACGCCACTGAGGTCAGGTCCTCGCCATGTCAGTTAGTGCACCCAACTAAACGTGTTCATCGTCCTTCGGATCCCACCAGGGCATAAGGAAATTATTTGAGTAAAGTCATTGTGTTGCATTGCGTAGGCAAGATATAGTCAGGTTGCTAGGGCCTAGACAGCAGAACAATTAGGGTTCTCAAACAAAGCCTTTGGTTTAAAAACCTGACCGCAAAGCAGCGGGTTTGGCATTGGGCTATAAGAAGTCCGTTTGGTAGAGTAAAGAGCCACCCTCACTCAAACCGCCCAACCTGGAGGGCCAGAAGACTAAGTTTGTCAGGCCTCTAACCAGTAACCAATCTGATATGAATGGCTCTGAAGGTGTGAAAGCACAAGTCATCATAGCGCAATAGATGGCTGAGGCACGCAAACTATCGCACCACGTTAAGGTCCAAGCTCGTCTCAATGGAAACTTTTTACCACTCTTCGACAACTTACTGGTCCTCGTGAGAGCCGAAGTACTGAAAGCCAAGCTAACCTCTGCCTTGGTTGTGGTTGCATTGGCCACATATTTACTCTTCGCCAAGTGTTAGAGCAGAGACATATCTACACACGATCGACTATGGTGGTTTTTCTGGACATGAAGTTGCTCTCGATTCTGTTGAACACACCAGTTCGTTGCACTACCCATCCATGAATCGCGTGCCAGCTAAAGTCTTTTCCATTCTGAAGTCTCTTTACCGTGACTCCTGAGGCCGTGTAAAGGTCTATGGAAAGCTGCTGCTTGAGTTTCGCACAATAAGTGGGGTTTGCTACGGTTGTCTTAGATCACCTTTTCATTTCAACTGCGTGATAGAAATGAACAGGATTGACTCGGTTCTAGCAGACTCTATGGGAGTGGAAGTTCTGTCAGGTGAGAAACTAACAAGCTTGGAATGTGTGGACCACATAGCTCTCTTAGAGCCTAATGCAGTAGACATGCAAACATTACTGGATAGGCTGGTAGGTAGAGTTGCCGGCTTCTGGATGTGTTTTGCATCTCCAAAGTGCAAAGTAGTGTTGCTGGACTGGACTGGACCAACACATCTCCGGTTCTAGTGATCACCGAATAGCCACTAGAAGTGGTGGATCGATTCACTTACCTTGGTGCCTGTGTCGCTTCTGGTGGTCATAACACTTAGGAAGTTACTTCGCGTATTTCAGCAAAGTTCTTGTAGCTTTTCAGAAGCTCAACCATCTATGGAGACGACGGGACACCAGCTTGTTCGTAAAAGGCGTCGTGTATAACGCTGCGATAAGGCCGGTGTTACTGTTTGGATCAGAGACCTGGCCAGTTCGCCGTGAAGACATTAAATGTTTGGCTGTGTTTGAACATTGGTGCCTGCGGAGTATCGCTCACGGCTGGAGGGAATCCTGGGTGTTCAATGCTGAGATCCGCCAGCTGTTGGCCGGTGGCCGAGTGACCTGCACGCCTGACTTGAAATCACAAGGCCACCTGTTCAAATCCGCGTAGGGGAGGCGCCATCCCGGTATACTCAGCCCACGCGCGACTGGTGGCGGTCACGCGCCACCGAAGCGCTGTTACGACGTACAGCTGACGATCATTATTGATTATTATTATTACTCCACCAGCTGGTTTTTGGCAAGAGGCTTTCTAGGGCCTCACTCGAGTGTTTGCTGAAGTTTAATCACTTACGTTGACTAGACCATCCCCTCCGTATGCCAGTTGATCGGCTTTCTCGGCGTACATTATGCGCTGTGGAGGCGTCAAGTTGGGTTAAAGTTCGAGGTCGCCAATACACGTGACATAAATGCTTGAAGAAAGTGAGTGACCGATTTGGTCAGGCTAGTGCGAGTCGCCTTCGTGAGCGGGAATTTCGGAATGGTACGTACTAATGGTCAGAAACCCTATCAGACATGGTGCAGTCAGTAGCGTTCCTGCATGCGGTTTCTTGCATCTAACTGTCAATCTCCATTCCATCCTGATTCGTTTAACTCACCCCCTTGATTCCATGTTTGTACATCCGTTTTATATTTAACCTCACTTTCGTGCCGTTGTTATACAGACGATGTGAGTCGTGCCAACTAGATCAACTACATTTCGGTGTTAACACTGAACTTAACCGTTCCGTGAGTCCAGAGTGAGGGGATATTGGACAAATTCGGTTTGTCGATAACATGTAGCATCTAAGAAGCATTATGATCTCACAGTAAGGTTTTGTTACTGCAGCGGATCCCAGCAGTTCACTGGAAAACACCGACATGCCATGGAAAAATACAAAAGGGAGTGAATCAAATGAAACAAGACGAAACAGCAAGTTGCATGGATCCGTGAATAACCATAAGGCAAGGCCATAAAGAGCTAGATAGGTGTTCTTCTCAAAAGGTAGTTTTCGCAAGGTATAGAAAGTAAGAGGAAATTTGATGATACGATCAGTACGCTCTCTCAGGATCTAGTAAATTACGTGGGGGGAGCGAGTTCCTCGATTGTTTTTAGTAGCAGCTCGTTAATTGCTACAACTACTTTAGCGTGTCAGAACAGCAACGAAGCAGTTGTTTGCGCACTGAAAATGCGAGTGACATGTTAGAGTGAGTAGCAGATTGCATAAATGTAGGTGTAAATGTTACAGAATTGAGTCCTTCAGAGACAAGCGCTTATTCGGTAAAGTCAACATAGTGAAAATGATAGTATGTTTGGCACGCCGAACTCCTCGATATATATTATCCAATCACTTGTAGAAACGAGTTCCTGAGAGCTAGTGTGCTGAGCACTTGGGAAGGTCTGTAGTATTACTGTCGCTACTGCCACTTCCATTTCTTGAGCTCTTTAAATTAACCAGACTTCACTTTCAACATACACACATCTGTTGTACCTCGTGTTCACTAGTCTGTAGAAGGCATC